TTTCTTTCTTTCTTTCTTTCTTTCTTTCTTTCTTTCTTTCTTTCTTTTCCCTCCTGCCCTTCTGGTTTTTTTACCACAAGGATGTTACTTTGCATTGTGACTCAGCCTTTTTATGTTTTACAGCTGACCACATGGCAATCACTGAAACATTGCTCACTAGTGCTTTTTGAAGTGGCCTTGTAAATCATGTTTCACTGTAAATCATTATTTACAGACAGCAGATGTTAAGCTTACATCAGATGCTAATTCCAGTAGATCAGCTAGCATTTACTGAATTTTGATGGAGGAATCCAAATAACTGAATTGATTTGAAAAATGAAGTCTACCAGGATGTGGGAATCCAGACACTCTCAATGTTTGCATTGCTAGAGACATGATTTGCCTTAACCACAGATGGCTGAATAATACATAGAGTCTTGTTGTGTCCAACCCATCGCGACCCCATGGAAAACGTTCCTCCAGGCCTTCCTGTCCTCTACCATCTTCTGGAGTCCATTTAAGCTCACGCTGACTGCTTCAGTGACTCCATCCAGCCATCTCCTTCTCTGCCGTCCCCTTCTTCTTCTTCTGCCCTCCATCGTTCCCAGCATTGGGCTCTTCTCCAGTGACTCCTTCCTTCTCATGAGGTGGCCAAAGTCTTTGAGTTTCATCTTCAGGATCTGGCCTTCTAAAGAGCAGTCAGGGTTGATCTCCTCTAGGACTGACCAATTGGATCGCCTTGCAGTCTAAGGGACTCACAGGAGTCTTCTCCAGCACCTTAGCCACAGAAAGGTTACAAAGCTACAAACCATGGTTTACAAATCATGATTGGATTGGCTCCCTGGACAGAGCCCAAACCAAGCAAACCACATTATGCCTTAGCCACAAATTGTATAAATGTAGCCAAAAACTAGCAGAGCTTCCCTAAGATTCTAAAATTATTGGTCTTGGAAAGATTTGGGTGCAAGACTTATCTTTAAATTGCCGTATTGTCAATACAGTCTTCTCCAAGATTCTCCAAAGCACTTCCTGACGTCAGAACAAGGAACAACAGATGGAAACTAATCAAGGACACAAGCATTGATTCCTGCTTAAGCAAGGGGTTGGACTAGAAGACCTCCAAGGTCCCTTCCAACTGTGTTATTCAGATATTCTTCCATTGTTTCAATTACTAAATCGAACGGCTTACAAATAGTGGCTGAAATTAAATTCAATCACTCTCTGAAAACACCAATAGAGACAGCTCCAGCTCCTTTAGAATAGCTAGAAAAATGGAAGCCGCTGTCACAAAGGGAAGAAAACTTTGGGCAAATGGGCATGTGGATTTTGATGTTGATGGCACGGTGGCTCAAACAGTTAAGATGTTGAGCTTGTCAGCTGGAAAAGCCGGTAGCCCAGGTCCGAGACCCGTGCGCCATGTGATGGGGTAAGCTCCGTCCTCGTCCCAGTTCCTACCAACCTAGCAATTCGAAAGCATGCAAATGCAAGTAGATAAATAGGTACCACTTTGATGGGAAGGTAACAGCGCTCCCTATAGTAAAATCCATAGAGACCCGTATCCGGTGTTAAGGAATAGGAGTGATCAGAATGCTGGAGCTGATGGTTTGATTCCCTTCAGCAAGACTCTAGCTCAGGGGTCTCAAACTCAATTTACCTGGGGGCCGCTGGAGGCAGAGTCTGGGTGAGGCTGGGCCGCATAAGGGATTCCACAAAAAACGTTGTTTAAAAAATATCCTCAAATGTTATACTTTCATATCACCGTGGGGGCCACAGGATATCGTCCTGCGGGCCGCAATTGGCCCACAGGCCGCAAGAATGAGGCCTCTGCTCTAGCTCATTCTGCTGTGAGTTGGACTTACATACCAAGCAAATGTTAGCCTCACTCTTTCTATAGTACCCAACCCCAATTTTCTCTGTTAGCGTAGGCTGAGAGATAATCCTTCCCGGATATTCCCTCTATGCAAAAGAATTTAACCACAGCGAGATTCCTTTCTGTAGAACAATATGTTGAGTCTGCCATCTACTGAATCTTGGACAGACAGATTATCTGTTTATTTTTTCTCTCTAGACATAAAAGCGTTCCAGCTGCAATCTCTGACCAAAACATCTATTTTAGGTCAATAAACACTGAAGTTAATCCAAAATATTTTATTTGACAGTCCATTTGCTCCAGATTAGTACAAAGGGCTATTTTTTTTCTCAAGAGGTATTTGGTGCTCTCTAAGCTTGGTGGTTTTCTTGCAGACGTTTCATGACCCAACTAGGGAACATCATCAGTGCTTGAAGGAGTGGGGTTTGTGGAGGAGAGGAGGAGAAAAGAAGGAGAAGGAGGACTATGGGGTCCATGGTCCATCTCTGAGATTGGCAGTTTCTTGAGGATGTTTCATTATTCAACTAGATCAGATACATCATCATGCTAGAAAGGAGTAGGCTTTGCTCTATGTTCCTACCAGCACTGATGATGTTACCTAGTTGGCTTATGAAACATCTCCAAGAAAATCACGAAGCTCCGAGAACATCGAGGACCTCACACTTCAACCCTGTGCTACAAATAGTGTCTTCCATTGCTATAAATGGCTTTCTTTTTACAAATGTACACGCCAAATAATGAGAACAGAACGAGTTCAATTAACCCTAGCAATGGGCAAACTTGCTACCTCCCCTCAGAGCTCTAGACAAGGACCTCAAATCATTTCTGTTCCATTGAACATCTTTGACCTTTGGCTAACTTTCTCAAATTGTCAATGTTCTCAACATCTGTCTGTCTGGAAGTGGAGGGGAAATAACTTCAAGATTTTTCAATTCAGTAATGAGGTCCCGATACTGGCCAGCATGAGTCTGGATTTTATTTGGCCAGAGAAATATCAAGCAACTGAGCAGACAGATGTTATTGGGTGAAGGGTCTGGCCCCTTTAGCTTTTTAACCTGTCATGTGTCTATGCTTCCTCTTTTGCAGATCCCGATGGAAAGGATGCCCGCTGCCCAAAAACAGCAAGGGAATCCACCTTGCCCCAACTGCTGTGAGTTTACCCCTTGCTGTGCATTGCTGTCTCTTGATTTCTGGTTTGCAAGAGGGGGTGTCATGCCCTTGTCGGAGTCTGATTCAGAGTAGGAGGCTCCATTGGCTGTGGAAGAAACTGGGGAAGGGCAAAGGCCGGATGGGCAGAGCAGGGAGAGAGGTAGAGCAACGGAGAGGGAATTCAGAGGAAGACCCAGGCCCACCCCCTCTTCATCCTAGGGCACGCAGGGAGGAACGGAGAAGGGAGCAATGTGGGTTGCATGGCTTATGGGAGAGGAAAGGGCCCTGATTCCCTTCATTAGCTGCAGCTGGGAACATAGTGTTTAAAAAGGGAAGCTGCGCACAGCAACTTGTTGAGAACAAATTGTGAATTATCTGGTATCGTCGTGGCTTATCTGTGTTCTGGCGTCTTCCCAACTGTGTGTGTTTTGCCATGCTTTCAAGTCTGCAATTCCTTCTCCTGCCCTGTCAAGTTAATTACTGTAGCATGGTTTGTGTGGATTTTTATTTACAGTTTGTATGTACTTTGTTTTCGGACTGAATTTCCTCCACTTAAAAACTGTTCTTGGGAGAGTTTTTTCTCCAGGCGAAGGTAACCTGGACATTGGGGACAAAGTTGGAGATATTAAAGGGACACTTCTTGCTTATTTGACTGTGTTGCCTTTGCGCCATGCCCCGAGTCATCACAGGGGGGAAAAAACTCCTTAGGACAGTAATGTTAATACCACTTTATTTATACGCTTGGAATATTGCCTCCAATTTTGGTCGCCCCGATGTAAAAAAGAGGCTGGGATTCTAGAAAGAGTGCAGAGAAGAACAATAAAGATAATTAGGGGTCTGGGGGCTTAAACATGTGAAGAACGGTTGTAGGAATTGGGTATGTCTGGTTTAATGAAGCCGGATAGCTGCTAAGTATAAGCTGGGTTGACAAAATCAGAAATGAGGTGATAAGCCACCTGGGAAAGCCAAGGGAAATCGTCAAAAGCATTAAAAAGCAAAAGTTGGAATATTTCAGACATTGTGTTGCAATACCCGAAAAAATACGGCATCTTTCACGTTAATCCTCCAAGGAAAGATTGAAGGCAAATGAAGATCCAGGCAGAAGAAGAAAATCATGGCTTCAAAATCTAAGGGACTGGTTTGGACAAAACTCAACACCCCTTTTTCGTGCAGCGGTTGATAAAAATAGGATTGCCCACAAAATCGCCAATGTCTGATGATGGATATGGCAGAAGGAGAAGGAGAAGGAGAAGGAGAAGGAGAAGGAGGAGAAGAAGAAGAAGAAGAAGAAGAAGAAGAAGAAGAAGAAGAAG